ATCCCAATGCTGCTTTCCCTCCCCCCTCAAAAAAGCAACTGGACATTCCTGGGTTTTTTTTTCCCTTGAAAAAGTGTCGCTTCTCATCCAAAAAGTTTCCAAAGAGCTAGAGAAAAAAAAAAACACAAAACCAGGAAGTCCATTTCCTTTTTGAAAAGCCCCCTCAGGTTCTCCCACCCACCCAATTTGTACCTTTGGCTCTGGAGAGGCCGTTTCTGAAGCTCCCTCAAAAGTCACCAGTTTGCAAGAATATCCGAATTTCTGGCCTGGCGCCTTTTCCAATGCAAGACTAAAGGAAGCCTTGGGTTCTCCTGGGAGGAAAGAGGGGGGCTGCCCCCTCCCCAAAACAGCTTTGGAAACTTTAGGGAGGGGGGAAACTAGACCCCAGAATATATATTCATTTCCTCCACATTTTATCTCCGGAATTCTACCCAAATGGGCGAGGAATGAGGGCAAAACTCTGAATGAGCAAATCATGTGCTGCTTTTTTTTTTTCATCTCGAGAAAGTGGGTTTGTACTAAACGCAGGCAGTCCTCAGGTTACGACCGCGCGGTTGAGCCCAAATTTTTTGTTGCTAAGCAAGACGGTGGTTGTTTTACCCCGTTTTGCAACCAATAGGAGAAAATATTTCTGCTCAGGGTTGAACTGTGGGGGTCCCTGGCGCCCTCTGAGCTGGGTGGCTTTCCTGCAGACGTTTGGTGACCCAACTAGGGAACATCATCAGTGCTGGAAGGGGGGATGCTGTGGAAAAGAGGAGGAGGAGGAGGAGGAGGAGGAGGAGGAGGAGGAGGAGGAAGAAGAACACTGTGGAATCCTTGGTGTCCTCTGAGCTTGGTGGTTTTCTTCAAGACGTTTCATGACCCAACTAGGGAACATCATCAGTGCTAGAAGGGAGGAGGAGGAGGAGGACTATGGGGTCCTTGATGCTCTCTGAGCTTCGTGCTTTTCCTGCAGACGTTTCATGACCCAACTAGGGAACATCATCAGTGCTAGAAGGGGGGGATGCTGTGGAGGGGACGAGGAGGAGGAGGAACACTGGAATCCTTGGTGCCCTCTGAGCTTGGTGGTTTTCTTCAAGACGTTTCATAACACAACTAGGTAACATCATCAGTGCTAGGAGGAGGAGAGGAAAAGGATTGTGGGGTCCTTGGTGCTCTTTGAGTTGGTTGTTGTCTTGCAGACATTTCATGACCCAACTAGGGAACACCATCAGTACTAGAAGGGAGGAGGAGAAGAAGGAAGGAAGGAAGGAAGGAAGGAAAGAAGGAAGGAAGGAAGGAAGGAAGGAAGGAAGGACTGTGGGGTCCTTGGTGCTCTCTGAGCTGGATGGCTTTCTTGCAGACGTTTCATGACCCAACTAGGGAACCTCATCAGTGCTAGAAGGAGGGGGGTTGTGGAAAGGAGGAGGAGGACGAAGAAGGAAGGAAGGAAGAAAGAAAGGAAGGAGGGAGGGAGGGAAGGAAGGAAGGAGGGAGGGGGGAAGGAAGGAAGGAAGGAAGGAAGGAAGGAAGGAAGGAAGGAGGGAGAGAGGGAGGGGGGAAGGAAGGAAGGAAGGAAGGAAGGACGGAGAGAGGGAGGAAGAGAAGGAAGGAGGGAGAGGGAGGGAGGGAAGGAAGGAAAGAGAGAGAGAGGGAGGAAGGAAGGAAGGACGGACTGTGGGCTCTTTGGTGCTCTCTGAGTTGGGTTGTTTTCTTGCAGATGTTTCAGGACCCAACTAGGGAACATCATCAATGCTCGAAGGGAGGGGGTTTGCAAAGTGGAAGACAGGAGAGGGGGAGAACTATTAGGGTCCTTGATGCTCTCTAAGCTAGGTGGTTTTCCTGCAGACGTTTCATCACCCAACTAGGGAACGCCATCAGTGCTAGAAGGGAGGAGGAGGAGGAGGAAGACTGTGGGGTCCTTGATGCTCTCTAAGCTGGGTGGTTTTCCTGCAGACGTTTCATCACCCAACTAGGGAACGCCATCAGTGCTAGAAGGGAGTGTCCAGATGAGCGAGGAAGATCCTCTAAGCAAGGTCTTCTTCTTCAGAAGTGGCTGTTCCTTTCAACAGGCCCCCTGTTGCCCCCTATTTCATTGTCAAGTGGAGTAAGGACCTCGTAGCCACCGGCACTTGCCCCATCCCTAACCAGGAATTGTGACCTGCATTGTTTCGTAGTGGTGCACAACTACAACGCCAGAGACCGCACAACCCAACCCAGTTTTAAACAACTCCGTCAGCAGCAGAAAACCTTGAGGTGGCCCAGAACTGCTCTTAAAACATGGGTAGAGAAATAAGAGCGGAAGGTTTACACCATTATTTTTTTTTTCAATTCGTTTTGGGTGGGGGAGAAAACACTTTAGCTCTGTTGGGGAGTTTGTGTGTTTCTCCACCACAATAGTCCGGAAACCACACCTCCAACTTTCAATAGACCAAGCCAGGAGAATTTGATCATTGCATGGAGAGAAGAACCAAACAGGTGCCTTTAGACCCATAGATCTCAACCTTGGACCAGTTGAAGACGGCGGGACGTCAACTCCCAGAATTCCCCAGCCAGCTCTGCTGGCTGGGGAATTCTGGGAGTTGACGTCCCGCCGTCTTCAAGTGGCCCAAGGTTGGGAAACCCCACTTTAGAATCTCAGACAAGGATGAACCTTACGAACCTTCTCCAGAACATCCGTTCTTTGCCATCTGGAATGGCTTTTCTCCACAACCCCGGACTATTCTTTCTCCCCCATCCAAGCTGCTTTTGGACACGGTGGGTGTAACGTGTAGCCCAGCCGCCCGCCCAGTTTGTATTTTTGCAATTGTTACAGCTGTGGAGTCTTTTGTTCCTTTCTCGATTCAACCGTTGGACTGGAGAACGCTTCTCGTTTCACCAACCGGCTCATCTTCAATGCCGTAGTAGGTCTCATCCTTGGGCTATTAGGAGACCACCCTTCACTCCACCAGGTTTATGGGCATCACCAAGACCCTGCAGCATCTTGACGTCCAACCGATGGGTGGTGGATTTGTTGACCCCGGGCCACAAATCCAGCAGGACGCGCTACTCTTCGTTTGCCTTACGTTTTTCTACGTTGCCTTCCGAATGACGCTTTGGGCGCCTCGCGTTGTGTCTCCCTCCAAGAGCAACTTACCAAAATGAATGTTTTTAACACTCAAGGTCGCTCCCAGGTGGATATTACAACCATCTTTATTTTGCTTCTGGCCTCCCTTGAAAGGAGCCAGGGAGAAACGGGAGTGGGTGACCTTGCAAAATTTACAACCATCGTCTCCAGCGGATGGAGACTTCCGGAGAGTTCGTTCTTTTACTCGGATCCAGGAGGTGGCCCGTTGGACTTGGGAGACAACCCCCTTTCGCAAACCTAAGCAGGGCTAAGAGACCCAGTCTTCCTCGGGTGGAGGCGAGGATGAGGATGGATTGGGGGCCTGTCTTTCCGTGGATGGTGAACCCAGAATGACGCTTGTGCTCCCTGTTAAGACGGTCGTCCTCAAGTTATGATGAGAATTGAGCCCAAACCTTTATGTTGTTAAGCGAAACGTTTGTGAAGTGAATTGTGCCCCCTTTTACCACTTTTCAGAATGGAATGGAATAGAAATAGAAATAGAATAGAATAGAATAGAAAATATGGAATGGAATAGAATAGAATGGAATGGAATGGAAGGAATGGAATTACAAAGAGAATAGAATGGAGTGGAATAGAATAGAAATAGAATAGAATAGAATTAGAAAGAGAATGGAATGGAGTGGAATGGAAAGGAATAGAATTACAAAGAATTGAATGGAATAGAATAGAATTACAAAGAGAATGGAATGGAGTGGAATGGGAAGGAATAGAATAGAAATAGAATAGAATAGAATTAGAAAGAGAATGGAATGGAGTGGAATGGAATGGAAAGGAATAGAATAGAAATAGAATGGAATAGAATAGAATTACAAAGAGAATGGAATGGAAAGGAATAGAATTACAAAGAATTGAATGGAATAG